CCAACCATCATCCTTTTCCTTGGCCCCCTCCATGCCCCTCAATCTGCTCCCCCAACTCTGCCTCCCAAACCCGGGGTGAAGGTACCTGTACTCTCAGCTCATCTCTTCTCACCTCCCTGACCCCGCTCTAGGCTTTTATCCACCGACTCTAATTAGAAAAAGCAAGTCCACAGCTCTTTCTCCACCTTGCCACCCACCCGCTTGACGCCAGTTCAGCTCAGCCCGCTTTTGCCATCACCCTCCTGCTGAGAGGGGTACAGGGCCTCTGGGGGCCCAGTTCCTGCTCCTGCCCTGCTCTGGAGCTCTGCTCTTGGGCAGCAGTACCCACCTCTCCCAGTAAGTGAGGCTGAGGGGCCTCAGCGTGGCCTCAGAGCACCAGCAAGCAGCTCTTAGGCTCCCACCACCCACCTCCAGCCACCTGACTCACACCTTCCAGGATGGTGGCGGGCACGCCTGCCTGCTGAAGCCTTCAAGCCCGCTCCTTGGCCATTTCCAGTCCTTCCCCGGCCAGCCCAGACAGCCCAAGTCAACATGACAGCCCTGTCCCGAGAACTTGTGGAGAGGGGGCTTCCAGACAAACCTTGTCCCATTCTGCCTGTGTGACCAGAGGTGAATCTTCCAGACTCTCTGGACCGTAGTGTTCTCGTTTGAGAAACAGGGCTATGCCTGTCCTGCCCAGCATGGACTTCAGGCTGCACAGAGCACCATCGGCCAGCCCTGATCTCCTTTGCCCCTCAAAGCCCCACCGGGGAGGATGGGCTTCAAGCCTACTCCCCAACATGAAAGGCCATATCCCTCCCGTGGCCCCACTTAGATCTCCCTTTTATCTAGGTGCCAGGACTCCTTTGAGGTCCATATGAGGACCACAAAAGTAGGCGACCTCTCCGGGACCCTGTGGTTCTGACTTCCATGGTCCTGTGACCCCAGCACAGCCATGACCTCACGGCTAAGCTCAGCTGTGTGGGGTAGTATGTGACTGTGGACAAGCCAGGGCACCCCGATGAGCCTGTTTCCTCCTCCAGGACATGGGAAATGTACCACCTGGCCGCACAGCTCCCAAGGCTGGTATAACCTACCAGACTGCCACAAAGAAGGTTGTGAAAATCCCAAACCTCCCTACGGCTGTGCTCCTCCAGGACATGGGAAATGTACCACCTGGCCGCACAGTTCCCAAGGCTGGTATAACCTACCAGACTGCCACAAAGAAGGTTGTGAAAATCCCAAACCTCCCTACGGCTGTGCTCCGGAGGCCTGGGCAGCTGGCACCATCCAGGGGCCAGCAAGCGCAGCACTGAAGAACTAGGGCAGACTTGCTCTGTGGTTCTACAGACTGAGAGCAGCTATCTCCCCCTCCTTCTCTTTCCTCACCCTGCCCAGGGTCAGCCACACCTGCAGGCCTCCCAAGCCACCCTGAGCAGCACCAGGGGTTTCTGGGAAAGCCTCCCTAGAACCTGGATCCAGCCCAGGGCCAGTGTCTGGAGTGCAGCCCACATCACACCTGCCCCTGCTCCCCGCCCAGGGGCAAGCAGGTGCCTGAAGTGGGACCAGGGAAAAGTGGGCCAAAGCTGCCCACTTATGCCCACCTCAGGCTGGGTCATTCACCGAGTCAGGAGCCTTGGGACCAGAAGGGGCTGAATGAACCTTGTTTTACCCGGGGCCTGCCAGATGGCCTTAACAGGCCTCTCCTCTCTGGGTAGGTTTCCCAACTATGAAGCGAGTCCTGAACCTGGATGTGGCTTCTCTCCTTCGCAAGGAGCCGGAGAGGGGCCGTGCTGCCTGAATCCCTGCTCTACGCTAACGCCCCCCACCCCCTTCGCTTCTGGGCCTCCGTGTCGCCTCGCTGATCCTGCGCATGTGCTGTAAGTAGAGGGGTTCAGCGCAAACGTCTCACCCGCGGAGGCCACTAGACTTTGGCTCTGGGGCCTTCGCTACAAACACACACACACAGATACACGAGCTTGAGGAAGGGTACAAACTGTAACAGGGTAAAAGTCAGTTCCCACCTGGAGTGGAGCCCCCCCCACTCACACGCGTCACGGGTGACCACGCACGCGGGCACACCGCACAGGCAGCCCCCCCCACCACGCACACCCAACGTGCCGGCACGCCCACACGCACACCCGCGCGCCCACACGCTCGCACGCACACCCGCGCGCCGACACGCTCGCACGTACACCCGCGCGCCGACACGCACGCGCGCACGCACAGCCCGACACAGCAGCACGCGCATGCGCACACACGCGGACAAAGGCGCGAGCACAACAAAGGAAGTGGAAGAAAAGTGTTACCCATGAGGAGCCGCCGTTTCACCCGCTTGTCCACATCAGCTACTGACGTGGCATTGAACTGAGAGCGCTCAATTGCAGCCTCATCCTTCTCTAAAACACAAGTAAGGGACAAACACGGAGCCGGTGGTTAATGACAGCCCACTTCCCGCGGCCCAAGACAGTCAGCCTCTCGGCGTGGCGCGCACACAGCCAACGCAGCATGCCGGGCCGGGCGTCGGCGCCGAGGGGCGAATCCCGGGAGCCTCCAAGGTGGTGTGTTCGGGGCAGGAGGCAGCAGGGGTGGGGGGTGCGGAGCGGGGGACGACCACACAAGGGCACAGGTGGGACCCAGGGCCCAGCTGCGAACAGACAGAGGTGGCGGCTGAGGTCAGAGTGGACAGACCCAGCTGCGGGGTAGGGGGGTGGGGCACAGAAGCACACACACCACCTCAGCGTGCAGGGAGGCATACGTGATTGCGGACCGCCCCCCGCTCAGGCTGGGGAGGCAGGCACAGGACAAGGCACAGGACAAAGGGACAGGGCCACGAGGTCCGGTGATGACTGTGCCTGGACAGCAGACGCCCTGTGTCAAGGGCAGGAAAGTGTGTCAAACACTCATGCAAAGTTAAGAACAAAACAACAGAGGAACAAACACACACACAACAATGGATCCAGTCGAACAGACAGAAAAAACAGGGGCTCGATTTGGGCAGCGCTGGTTGCCTGCTTGTCTATAGAGGACTAGAGCGAGACATTCAAGTGCTTGACAAGGGGCTGCACAGATGGGTCAGTCATTTTAGGAGCGTGCGGAGAGGCGGGCGGCCGGGGAGCATTCTGGCTGCTGGGCAAGACGTTGGGCCAAGATGCTGTCCGTGGAGGAGCAGGTGAGGTTAGCTGTTTGGCGGCCCTCTGCTCAGTGGAGACGTGGGCTCCCGAGGGGGGAACCTGAGCAGCAGTGAGCAGAGGCAGAAGGAAGGTTCTCCTGGCCAGCAGAGGGCAATGGCCCAGGAGCTGGGTCTGGAAGAGGGTTTCTAAGGGGAGGGGAGGGGAGGAGGGGGTGAGAGAGGTTATGTTAGAAAGTAGATCCAAGCAGGGACCTTCACATGCAGCAGACACTAAAAGATAAAAAAATGAGAAAGGATGAGTCAGGTGGACAAAGACAAGATGTGTTAGACGAGCCTGGGTGTGTGTCTGGCCGGCAGCTGTTTGCACTGGTTCCGTGGCCGGCAGGGGCGGCTGCACTACAGACACAAACAGCGAGGGAGACCCAGCAGACGAGACAGGAAGGTGCCGGTGCGCCTGGGAGGCCCCCGGCAGGACAGTGGAGACAGGGAGAGAGGTGGGGGAGGAGGTTCTAGATGGGATCAGGCTGCAATAGAGACACTGGTCTGAGACCAGGTTTTGCTTTGAAAAAAAAAAAAAATTTTTTTTTTTTTTTGGTTGTTTGGTTTGGTTTGGCTTTTGGCTCTGAAAATAATTAATGAACGTCAGTTATCAGACAAGACAGGCAATCAGGGACCATCACCAGAAAAGCAGGAGGAATGAGATAAAATGAAACCAAAACGGCCGTCTGAGAGGAGACCACACAGAGGAAGGGGAGAACCACGCGGGCAGCAGCTCCCGGGACAACAGCCGGGACTAGGGTGAGACGCTGGTGGCCTGCCTGGGCCCTGGCACCCCCACCCTGCTCCCTGAAGTACCAGGGAGCAGTCACAGGGACAGAATGCGACAGCAAACTCTGGTCTCACGGCTTTGCTTGCTTGCCACCCCTTTTTTGTTACTTGAAAGTCCCTCCAGAAATACCTTCAGAGTCGGTAATAAGAGATGGGGGCCCCCCCACTAAAAAGAATAAATACGGTCACTGACTGGGGGCTTCTGAAGTTGGCCGACACGGAAGAGAAAGAGAGCAGAGGATGAACAAAGTTGGATGGGTACCAACTTTGAAATTCTTCTTTTTCTCAGTTGAAAGATACGCTGTGATTTTGAGTGGGTGAAGAGGCTACTACTGATTAAGGTTGAGGTAACCACAGATATTCTAGCTTCCTCCTGCAAATAAGGACCAGGAGGAGGGAGGTGACCAACACTCAGATTGAGACTCCATGAGACAGGTGAGATGACAGAAGGGGCATCGCTGAGAAGGGACTCTAGCTGGAAGAAGAAGTCTGGCGAGAGCCCATTAGCTCAGGAGTGGAAAGCGGCTAAGAATACCCAGAGCCCCTTGGGATTCTTCTATCCAGTCTCCCCTGGTGTAGACTACGAAGACTTAAAGCCGCTTCCTGAGAAAACCTCTTGGTTTTCCAGACTGGCGGTCAGCTTATGTTGCTAATGGGGCACATGTGCAGGTTAAATGGATGTGCCATGTGTCCCCAAATCGGGAAGAAACCCCTATGCTTTAAAAACAGAAGCTGCCCTCCTTAGGCACACACCCCCTCGTCCTCCCCACAGACCACCCCCCATGTTGAGGATGAGGACCCGAAGAAAACCCACAGTGACAGGAAGCAGAGATGCTTGGTCCGGGGTGGCCGCTAAGTCTCTACAGAAGGCTTCCCCTGGGGACGTCTGCCAGCCCCATTAGTACCGTGGGGTCCTCCTTTTCTTGTTCCCTCAAGCTTCCTTCTTGGAAACTGGGACATGGTGGGGTGGTGCTGGGGTGCTGACCAACCTCAGGGCCGCAGGGGGCCCCGGGGGGAGGCAGGGCGGCGCAAGGGTGCCGGCGCAGAGGTGCGTACTTACCGATGCACGTCCGACCGTCGGAGTGGAGGGCGTACTTCTGGTGGCAGCCACACATGGGGCCCGTGTCCGTGTCCTCACAGCTGTGCTGGCAGCCTCCGTTTCCATAGTTACAGGTTACTAGTTAGGCCCATAGTGTACGTACGTGTGTATAAAAGGAACGACAACAAAGATGATTAGTTTATCGGTGTTGGTTGTTTCTCTTAAGGGACGGGGAGCAAAGTGACGGCATAAGATAATCAGTGAATAGGTGCACACTTCCCTGGACTTCAGCCCCTCCAAGGTCTCGGATGGAATGGCTCGCTCTCTAAATGGGAACTGGGGTGAGAGGGGAATGGACCTGGGTCGTGTGGGCTTCAGAAAGGGCTGGCACCAGCTGACAGACTCAGATGGTGTCAGGTGAAGAAAGGGATAGGATAGATCGTTTTCTCCCTCCTCCGTGCCAGAGACACTTAGGAACTGCCTGTCTTGATGGGACAAGTGTCTGTTAATGGCAGGCGTCCTCTACGAGGTGGGGGAGGGTGGCGGCGGGCCCGTGCTGAGGGGGACACTCATTCAGTTCTTGCATCGCTTGCTCTCTCCTGCCTGGGTCTTGCGCGTGTGGAAGGGTGTCCCCGCAGAAGTCTAGTCTGTCCTAGCCCCAGCAGCCATCTCAACCTCTGTCCCCTCAGAGCCCGGATCCTCCCAAGGCAATGTCCAAACAGACGGAACCTGTGCAAATTAGTGCCAGCTCACGTGCGCTTTGGAAAATGACTTTTTATTTAAACATGTTACATAGTTTGCAGTGTCTATGGCCTGGAGGAGCCGGCGCCCTGCAGCCCAGAATCTTAAAATGTTTTATAGCATCAGCAACCTGGGTTGGCTGAAAGGGGGCTGAACAAAAAGGAGACGGTCTGAAGAAGGAAAAATGATAAATTCAAGTTTATTTAAAAGGAAACTACTCGTTACCACATTTTAGGGTGAGAGGTATTGCTAAAGGAGTTCCCAGATCTCTATGGGAGGGGTTCTTGCAGCCCCTGCTTTACTCAGCTTGCAAGACGACCCTAAAGATGCTCAAAGATGCAAAAATAAATCTCAGACCAACCCAGTTGAAAATTCCGAATTGGCAGTTGGGATTAATGATGTTCTATCAGGTTGACCCAAGAGTAGGGCTGGTGCCAGAGGGAAGCCACAGGGTGGCAGCTCCTGGAGATGGATCCCAAGCATTCCAGAACTGAGTCCCGCAGCTGCCTCTCCCAGGTAGTGCTCTCACCAGGGGCACAGCACATGGCCTCCGGGGCGACCATCCCGAGTGATGGTGGTGGTCCTGTCAGCCTGGACACATGCCAGCTGAGGAGGACATGAAGAGAGTGGTCCTGCTCGGCGTCCCCGACGCTGTCCTTGCAACCAGAGGGAGGCTCTAGTGGGTTGCCTCTTCCACAGGGAGCTAATGTCCCATCTGCAGGAGGGGCCTGACTTCTCGGACGACCTTTCAAGGACCTGCAGAACTGCTTCAGGATGCACAGCTCCCTCTGGCCCTTTCTCCAGAGGAGCATCTCTTCTCTCAGTTTTCCTGGGGAGCCTGGCGGCCTGCAGTCACATTCTCTCATCTCTGAAACGGCTTGTCTCTCTGCCTAGGAAGAGCCCCAGGGAAGCCAAGGGTAAAGACTGCCATGGATCTCAGGAGAGGGCAGAGCCCAGGCACAGCCCTGCCTTGGCCTGGACATCATGTGCCTTTCCAGACCGAGAAAAGCCCCACTTCAGACTGGGCAGGGGTGGAGTGGTGAGGAGGCCATGAGAACACTGCAGAAAGTTCTTTCCAAGCTCTAGGCTCCTGGCAATGGGCCGTGTCCTGCAAGTGACTCTAAGGAGGATGCAGGGCTGTCTGAGGCAACCCGAGAACCCGAGGGAGGGCCATGCTTAGGGTCCCACACCCCCCACTCGGGGGTTTGTGCATCTCAGGGACCCTAGGGGCTGAGCTCGTGAGCACCTAGAGAGCCTCCGGCTTGTGCATGATAATAGTACTGCTGTCCTGAGCTCTGGGACGACCAAGAAACGGTGGAGAAAACCTCCTCTGGCCCTGGAGTGGGTCCTGGACTCTGGAGAGATGAGTTTGGTGCAGAGGCCTTGTGGTCCTGCTGGTCCACAGAGGCTGGCTAGGCCAGGCCTCAGCCCCCACCCCAAATCCAGATCTAGAATTTCCTAAACCTCAACTGGCCTCCAGGGCTAGACAGAGAGCCTCAGAGCTAACGTCACACGAACTCTGCGTGTTGACCGCACAGCAGGAACCAAAGCTGACGGGAGGGACAGCTGTCTGTGCAGTCCCTTCACAGAAGGGCCGCAGTGCGCTCACCCGCTCCTTGGCCCCGGGGTTGGTATCTGATTCTCCACACAGCTCGGCGATACCCAGCCACCGAGCCGAGGGGGTGGGGCTGCCGTTTCTTTCACCAGCAAACGTTCGGGGCAAGGGCTTAGTTCTTCTCTGTCGGGGGCGGTGGGGGGGGCTTCGCTGCTCACAGAGAGCCCTGCCTTGTCCCTGACCTCTCAGATCAGGTTGGCGCCTCGGGAGATGTTCTCTGAGCAAACTGCCCCCTTCCAGTGCTCATCCCAGACAGGCCGGTCAGTCCCAGCCACTGCCTACACCCAGCTCAGGGCTTGGCCAGTCTTGCTGAGTGAAGGAACACTCTTTACTTGTGGCTGAGCCTGTCAACAAGCCTGCCCACCCCACGCATACTTGTCCTTGGCCGTTGTCCGGAGGACTGGGAAAGCTGGAGTTCTTCACTTTCTGTTCTGAAGGGTGCCAGGTGGCAGCAGGTTTCTCCGTAGCAATAGGAATCGTCTGATGTAGAGGACCAGAGGGCCTGGCTGGAGTCCTGGGGCTGGAGCTGGGCACTTGCCCGTGGTGACCGCATACACGTTGATCTGTGTGCTCCCACGGGAAAGCCCAGGGACAAAGAGGGAGGCTGCCTACATCTCAGAACATACCTGGCCAGAATGGAACGTCTTCACTTTGGGGAGTGGACGGATCATGAGTGTGGGGGCTGGAGCATGAGCTCCGTGGAGACAGGGGATGTGTCTAGTGCATGTGGGTCCCCAAGATCTTGGTGACTGAGGACGGCATGGGTTGGGAAAGGTGTGGCAGGCGCCCAGAGGAAGCTGATGACAACTGAGACAATCAAAAGACTAAGGATGAGCCAGTGAGGCCCAGCTGTTTCTTTTCCACAGAATGAAGGATGGAAAGCAAGGCCCTTTTCTTCGTGAGAGCTGGGCAGCCCAGTCTCTCATTTCAGGGGTGAGGTTGGGGCTGCTTTCCTCTACTGGAAGATGGATTCGGACTCCTCCACACCATTTCTCTGCATCAGAAAGCAGGCCTGGAATGATGTCCTTGTCTCTGGCCAGACGTGGGCAGGGCTCACACCGGTCTCCCTCAGCTCTTTATACGCATGAGCCAACCGGGTGCCAGTACAGGTAGCCCAGCCGCCCAGTGAGCAGGGGCCGCCCCCACCCCTCCCCACGCAGCTGCTGGGAGCTGGGTCTGAAGCTCTTAAGGACTGTGAGTGTGTTCAGCCCTGGTCCTACTTCGTTTGCTGGCTCCCACTCCTAGGGAGCTGGATGACCACATTAAGAGGTTGCCTGCAGGCTGACCTTCAGGCTGGTCCTGGATGGCACCTTTGGCCAGAGACCTCATTCAACCCAGATCTCACAGGGCATCACCATTTACGGTGGGCCCTGCAGGGGCGGGCTGTAAAGTTCTGATCTTTGATCCTGGAAATAAGGTTGGCACAGGCTGGGCTGGGACTCCCCGCCCCCCCCAACCCAGCTCCTTTCCTTTTTTCTACCACCCTGTTTTACCAAGGGCTGCCCTGCTCCACCAAGAAGCCCGAGCTTGTGGGCCTCTGTGCCACAGCCCTCCATACCTGCTGGAGAGTTCAGGCTCAGGGCCTATGGAGCTCTGGGGTTGGGGGTTATGGTAAGCACTGCAGGGCTATTAAGCAGGGTCCTGCTCTGGGGCTGTCGGTGCTGGTATGCCAGGTTGGGCTAACGCCATGTCTGGAGTTCACAGCCCCCGTCCCTCATGCCTCCCCAGGCTTCTTCGGGGACCTTGCCCTTTCTCTCCACCCACAGGGGCTGAGAGACCTCCCTGGGCAACGTCCAGCAGACTGGACAGACCCCCTCCCCCACCCCCCATAAAGCAATGGCAGGAGACGCGTGGGGATGTCTGACCCATTTGCCTCCATCTACCTACGTGTGCAGTCCTTCTGGTTTTGGGCAAGGTCAAAGCCGGGCCTGCAGTCACAGGCCACCCCACCTTTGGGCGTCTCCCGGCAGATGTGGGCACAGCCGTGGTCTTTGTTCATGCAGTTCATACCCTCTGGGAAGAGACAGACGAGAGAGGGGTAGAGGGCCAGGGGGAGGGAAGAGAGAGAACATTTCAGGCCGAAGAGAGGTGGCCCATAAAATGTCACCGTCAAACGCACTGTTCTTGGGCTGCTCTTAGCATGTGCACCACCCCCACACGCCGGGGTGCACATCTAGCCATCTGTGGGGGGAGCTCTTGGGGAGAAACCAAGGACACGGTGCCCAGGTCTAGAACCAGGCCTCGCTCTGAGAACAGCACCGTGAAGGACTCCAGGGGACCCACGGAAGAAGCGTCCCTGCCCTAGGTCAGCTCACAGAACCCAGTACAGCTCAGGGCCTTAGACCGTTTCCTCACTAGGGCAGGTGGGGGCGGCATGGGCACCCTTCCGGCTGCACAGGGATGGCACGTGCCCCACTGAAGCAGGCGGAGTCTTTGGTTTCAGGCTGGGCCCAGAGGGGAGCGCTGACGGGTCAGGGGTCGGGGCGGGGGGGCGGCGCAGCCCTAAGCAAATGTGCCCTGGCGGGCTTGCACTTGTTTCCTGGGAGGCCCTGTCCGTCCCGCACAGCCACCTCTCACTGCATCCCTGCACAGAGGCTCGTCCTCAGCAGCCCTACAGCCATGCCCTGAACTACACGCCACCCCCCCACCCCCGGCAGCCCGAGGGGGTCTCTTTCTGTCCCTGGTCACTGCAGTGCTCCCAGGATCCGTGGAACCCTCACTCCCAAATGCAGAGCCCTGCGCGACCTGCTGCTGGCCTCCAGCTCCACCCGCACACCCCTGCGCCCCATGCAGACTCTTCCAGGTCCAGGAGCACACGTATCCCCATTTCCAACATCTTAGCTTGGGATTCCTGCTGGTTGGCAGGTTTCCTTTTAAAGGAAAATGTCTGCCAACCTCCGGTACCTTGTTCTGTGAAGACTCATCTAGAAGGGCAGCTAGCAGCAGCCCTCCTTGCTGGTTGGGAGGCCTCAGAAAGGGGAGACTGCCCCAGGATGCCAGGGCTGGGCTGCCCCACTGCCTGCTAGTGTCCCCACCCTCTAGCTGCACTGGGCTGTTTTATCTGGAGCCCTGCCCATCTTGCCCTTGCTTAGCGGGCCCTTCCAGCTTGTTCTTTGGGCCAGGTTCAGAAGCCCTGTTCCTCACAAGGCCGGCTGTTCCCTGTCTCCTCTCCTCCCAGGCTCCCTGAGACTCTACTGTAGCGCCAAACCCTAGGCAGCAGCAATGTTCTGGGCACATTCTGGGCCCCTCGATCCTATAAAGGCAAGCACTCCCTTCAGAGGTTAGGACATCGGGGTTAAGACACCTGCCCAAAGGCCCATGGGGCACTGAGGGGCACCACCAGGACTTGGACCAGTACCTCAGACTATGAACCTCTGTCCCACTCCTGCCGCAGAGGCCTTGAGGAATGCAGAGCTGGGCTGCCCTGGCTTTCCAGGGCAGGCACTGGGGACCATGCACATCGAGTCTCTAGAGGCCCGGCCTCCGGTTAGTGCACGCTGAGGGTTACACCGAAATGTGCTCTGAGGGCTCTGGCACAACGGGGACAAAGAGCGTCCCCTGGGCGGGCCGTGTGCCTCTCAGTCACTCTTAGTTCCTGGGACACCCCGCCCCCCACCCCAAGAGACTTGATCTTCCCTCCCTGATCGCCTGGAGTGGCTCAGACCCCCTTCAGATGACCCCAGTTGATATTTATCTTCCTGGTGATTTGTGAGGAGTTTCCAGAATTTATGAGGTCATCAGGGGTCAAGTGAGAGGTTGTAGGTCACAAGTCCATCAAGAGGCTAAAGGCAGATGAAAGGAGGAGCTCCTGTCCGCCCACACGGCGCCCTGAGACCTTACTTCCATATCCGGCCAGAGAGGAGCCAGCCCCGGACAGAGGGGAGGAAGCCGCAGACGGGGACACACGGCGGCCTCCTTTCCCCAAGGTGGCTCACCTGTGGGCCAGGACCAGCTCCATCTTGACCCTGTCCGCTGTAAGCACGGGTGCGGGGCAACTGAGATCTGACATACACTTGAGAACATACACACCCCAGCGGCTACAACGAAGATTTTTTTAAAGAGTCTAAATTGAAATGAAACAACGAAATGGCACTGAGGGAAACCTGCATTGTGCTGGGTGCGCTGACCTCTGCTCTCACCTGGATTTTCTCACTTCTTCAGATCACACTGCTGGACTGATGCAGAGTGGGACCAACTACCCGACAGCTGACCAAACAAAGCACTCCAGGGCCAGGGTTCCTCCCTGGAAGTTTCCGGTTCGCGTGGAGAGTCGCCCCTTCCGCTCACTGAATTCCACAACAGCACCCATGCACACCTTGTAGGGCGGCATGGGAGACCCAGCGGGCTGCTGCGCCACCGAACGACTGCTGGGGGTGGGGACGGGGCTCGGGGTTGTGGCATTTCCGTGGTGTGAATGCTCCATCGAGGCTGACCCCAAGCTCCCCGGGGAGATGCCTGAAGGTGCAGCAGGGAGGAGGGGCACCATGGGCCCTTGCGAGCCGGCAAGAGCCCGCCTCACACAGAAAGTATGGCTCTCTTAGGTCACTGTAAAGTCAGGAGTCTGGCCTCCTGACTAGTTGTGTGTCTCAGAGAAAATCACTTCTCGGGTAAAGTGGGAATGATCATCTCTGCCTCACAGACAAGACAGGGTAGTATTCTGACACTAGATTTTTCTGTGGGGGTGCTGACTTCAGAAGGCTCGTGCCTTCTCCTGCAGATCTAGAGAAGGCAGAGCTCCTCGTGGGGACCTTGGCTAGGACAGGCAGCCCGTCCTCAGAGGAGGCTTTCGGTTGAGGGGATCTCCTGGGCCACTGAACCATACGCAGCCTCTCATCAGGTCTTCTGAGAGACTTGCTGCCCTGAGGGGTCGGCCGGCAGGTGGTGGCCACCAAGCAGCCTCCTGGACCATCATCAGTGGCTATGTTAATGGTGGGCTGAGTCCGGCATCACCCTTCACTCCCTGCTTAAGTGGTCCTTCTGGCTCCCTGGGGCCCACAAATGTACAAAGAGTTGTTCCGGCCTCTTCCCAGCTTTGTCTTCTGCCATCAAGTACTTGCACTCCACGGGCCTGCGATTCCACACGGCCTATTGAACACCCCCTGGGCGTGTTCCCCATCCACGCCCTTGCCTCTCTGGTCTTCCACAGACAAAATCTGGGGCCTGTCTCAAACTCCACCAGTTCCACGGGGCTTCCTGACTGCTCCCCATGTTGCCCCCACGCCACCACCCTGCGTTAATCTCCCAGGGCCGTCCTGTGGCTGGCCCAGGTGTGATCGATGCCACTCAAACAGATCTGTGCTTTCTTCCTAAGCTGGGAAGAGCCCAAGGGCCCTTGTTTAAGCTCAGGCTTATACGTGATGAAGAAAGGGAGATTGAATTTCCATTCCCAGCCAAATAAACACAACTTACGAGAAGCCCTGCTAATCATCACTAACCATAAATTTGTCACTGGGGAGCTGATGTGGCCCTGAACTTTGGAAGCTAAACAGAGCCTAATGCTTTAAAGAAGTCACTCATCTTTCTCCCACACCATGGACTTGCCAGCAGGCAATCTTCCTTTCTGAGAATCTAGACTTTAATAATGAGCCAAGATGTTGTTGTTTTGCTGGCAAAGCATAATTGGGTGGCGGGGGGGCGCGGTAATCCAGTGTTCCAGTCCAAGTAGATCTGGAAGCAAGCAATGGAACCCCGGAGCTGGGAGGGTGGGCCCCAGGCCTCGAGTGTGTCCACTTCAGTGGTCTTAGCAACTGTGGGAGAGGTGGGCGAGGTCCCCCATCTTCTACCTGAAGACGTGAGTGAGGTCATGTGACTCACTGAAGTTCCCACCCAGGCTCCAGAGCACAGGGCCCTCTTTCTCCAGCCCAGGGCAGGGCCAGCACTGGGTCATCAGCGGAAAGGGCTTTGGGACCTCTTTACATTTCTGACAATTACAGAGAAGCCTGAAGATTTTCTGTTTAGGTGTTGACATGCTGCAGTTACTGTTTACTATAGTAGGAATTAAATGGGGAAGTTTATCTTTAATAATTTATAACAATGGAAATTAAAAATGTTACATGTTAACATTAGTATTTTTTTTAATTAAAAACTATATTTTTCAAAACAAGGGGAGAGTTGGCTGAGAGGAGAGTCCTTGCAGAGGAGAATGGGGCGGGGGTGGGTGCTGATTCTTGACCCTGCTGTTTGAATCCCTGGGGGTGCCGCCGGGCCTGAAGCCATGTCCCGCCCCCCCATTCTCCAGGCACTTGTCACTTCTTGTCTCCACTGGGTTAAGGGAGGCCTGCCGCAGACTGGATGCTACAGGAAGTGGTCAGCCCGTGGTGGCGCTCTGGAAGGCGCTGGCTCTGAAAGGCCGAATGCCGCTGTGTCCCTCCTCCAGGAAACCTTCCTCGGTCCGCAGGCCAGTCAGCGGCCTTCTGGACGCCCGTGCTGCCCTCACTTGCAGTACTGCTATGGTGGCCATGTTTCTCCTCCCTGGTCTTCCTGTGACTCTCTGACCAGCCCCTGAGGGCAGGCTGAGCTCTGAGCCTCTCAGTCACCTCACTGTCCAGATAGGTCCTGCCTGGGACGGGACGGAATAACCTTTCCCCTCTTCCACGAGGGTCTGGGACACAGGTCTGGGCGTCACAGCCCAGTAGCCACCACACAGGCAGCCTCATGTGAGACCGGAGTCCTCTCAGCCTGAGTGCTTCTGGAGGCACCTCCTCCCTGAGCTGGTGGCCATCGGGCCTCACCATCACATCGGCAACCATTCCAAAGATGGCAGAACCGCCCAGCCTGCGGGGCTGGAGCGATATGGTTTGCTCTGCCCTGGTCATTCAGCTCCGCACCGGCTACAGACACAGGAGCCGCACTACCTTCCCCTTGGCTCCGGGGCACGCTCCGGGCCACGAGATGTGTGGCATGGCTGGCAGAGCGGCAGATGGTCAGGGCTGGATGGGTCCTTGCAGTCTGTCTTGTCCATCCATCTTACAGGTGGGCAAAATGAGGCCCCCGGATGGCACGCGTCTGTCTCA